CTTGTTGTCTCGGATTGTCCAGCATCTGCAGTTCCTACTATCTCTATTTCTATCCATGGACTCCATTTACGCATCTCGTTGCCATGGAATGGCTGCCAACATCATCAAAGACTCCTCCCACCCTGATAATGCTCTCCTACAACCTCTTCCATCAGGCAGAAGATACAGAAGCTTGAACACACGCACCAACAGGTTCAAGAACAGATTGTCCCCTGCCATTATTAAACTGATGAATGGTCTCTCTCTAACTCCAAATAATGTTGATTTTGCCTGCACATGCCCTGTGCAGTGTAATCTGTACGCCTCACTCTGTCCAAGTATTTTTCACTCAGTGATCTGTATGTCCTTGTTTACTATGATCTGCCGGCTCACAAACAAAGCTTAGGTGCACGTGACAATAAATCAAATCAAATCAAACTCCAAATTTCTTATCATTTGAGAAATACTCTGTCTTTCGGTTTGTCAGTCACATTTCACATACTCACATTATATTCCATCGGGCATGATCTTGCCCCTTCATGTAGCCTAATCAAAGTCATTTGAATCTTCCTTGCTTCCTCCTTATAATGCAAACTCCCACTTAGTTTTGTGTTATTTGCGTACTTGGAACAATTAAATTTTGTCCCACATCAAAAAGATTTGTGTAGAATTGTGAACAGCTATAGCCTCAACACTGATCCTTGCAGCAGCCTGCCATTTCTTTTGATCTATTTCAGTTATTAACTTCTTTTGTAACCATGATTGATTCACTACTTCTGTTGTGTTTTTGTGCATTAGCAGATTATATATTTGTTGTAGAACTTGTAATATTTACTTAAATATCAGGCATTGCCTGTCTAACAAATACTTAAGTGTTTTTACTTAAGGGTACTGAGGAAGGATCACTCAACCCGAACCTTTAACTCCGATCTAGGCCCGAAACGTCAGCCTTCCTGCTCCTCTGATGCTGCTTGGCCTGCTGTGTTCATCCAGCTCTACACCTTGTTATCTCTCTCCTCAGATGCTGCCAGACCTGCTGAGCTTTTCCAGCAATATCTATTTTTGTAACATAAGTGTTTTTTTCCTGAGTCTACAATAGCTATCTTGCCCTAATTCCTTCATGTTTCCTCAGTTCATATTTAAAGACCTTAGCTTTGGAATGAACCTTATCACACTAAAATTTAATATGAAGTTCTATTATGATCACTATTTCCCAAAGGGTCCTTTACAAGAAGGTTATTAATCAGCCATTTTCTATTTCACACTAACAAATGTAGAACAGCCTGATCTCTACTTTGTTCTTCAAAGCACCGCTCCAAAACACGTTTGTAAGACCCTAAGAATTTGACTCTATAATGTGCTTCCTCCTTTCCTGATGTCCCTTTTTCTGAAAACTCTTTAGACATTATTTCAACTGCAGTTGGTCTCCCATTTATTTCCAGTAATTAGTTGTCGTATGTCCAGTCTTATTGCAATGGAAGCATGTCAATGTCTTTAAATCCCATTTTGGTTCTAACCTTTCTACCTTAATGCTTTTGGTGTTCTTCTGTCTGTTCTAAAAAAGGAGTAACTCTTCCATCCTTTGTTGTTCTCAGCTGTTTCATGGCCAAATCATGTTTTCTAATTTCCCTATCTCTCTGGATTTTGAGTTCTTTTATTTCCATCTCCCTCTACTTTTCTTCTTCTTCTCCTTCTATTATCATTTATTTTTCATTTTCCATCTTCCTCTGTTTTCCTTTTTCCTCATGTTCCATCTTCCACTGTTTTTCCTCCCTTTTCATTTCAAGTTTTCTTATTTCTCTCCTCCAATTCAAGTCTTTTCATTTCTCTTTCTAAGTCCAAAAATTTCATTTCTAACTGTTATTTTAGTTAGTTGTAGCTATGACACCTGAATTTTCACCTTTTCTTTTTTAGAGCTCTAAATATTAGATAATGACTTGAAGCATCTCATCCTTACAAGATCCTGCCTTAATTTCTACCTTCAACTTTTTTTTTTACTCTCCCAGTTTAGCATTAGTCAAAGATTTCAAATAATCAACAGTTATATCTTCCACTTCCAGAAAACTCTTAGCAATATTTTTAGCAGTGATTTCCAGAGTGGGACAGGAAGGGGCAGAGTATACAAGCGTCAAAAAACTGCAGCAAAAGGGAAAATAAAAGGTAAAAGGGCAAAATTAATGGCTCTTTACTTAAATGCATTTAATATTTGTAACAAAATAAATTAATTAACAGCACAAATGTTAATGGGTATAACCTCTATAACTATTGGGGAGACACGGTTACAAGGATATTGAAGCTGGTAAGGAAATATTCAGGATGTGTGTCCTCGCAAAAGGTCAGTTAGGAAGTGAAGGATGATGTGAGCTTTGTTAGCATGAGATGGACTTAGTACTTTAGCAAGCAATGGTCTTGGATCAGATGATGTAGAATTCATATGGGTGGCAGTAAGAAATAACAAGGAGAAGAAGACTGTCGGCCCCTTACCAGGTGACCAAGTGTCACTGAGAGTATGTAGAAAGTGTATTACATTAATCACAGGTGACTTTAATCTGCATGTAAATTGGAAAAATAAAATTGACATACGTACCATGAGGAAGAACTCAGAATATATTCAGGATAGTTTCTTAGAAGAGTATGTTCTGGATCCAACCAAGGATCCGGCTATTTTGGATTTGGTAATGTGTAATGAGGCAGGTTTTATAAATGAATAGAAGATCTGTATGGAAATGTGACCATAACATGATAAGGTACAGCATTCAGTTTGAGAGTGAGAAACTTGCTTCAGGAACAACTATGCTAAACTTAAATAAGGATAATTACATGGGAACAAGAGCAGAGTTGATTAGAGTAGTTTGGGAAATGAACAATGGCAACTGGTGTCATAGTCATACAGCACGGAAACAGACCCTTCGGTCCAATCAGTCCATGTCGACCATAATCCCAACCTAAACTAGTCCCATCTGTCTGCTCCTAACATTTCTTATTTGTGTACTTATCTAAATGTCTTTTAAACATTATATGTGTACCTGCATCCACCACATCCTCAGGAAGTTCATGGCACACACGAACCACTCTCTGTAAAAAAATTGCCATTTGGGTCTTTTTTAAATCTTTCTCCTTTCGTCTTAAAAATATGCCCCATAGGCTTGTAATCCCCCATCCTAGGGAAAAGACACCTGTTATTTGCCTTATTTATACCCCTCATCATTCTATAAACCTCTAGAAAGTTACTTTTCAACGTCCTACACTCCAGTGAAAACGTCCCAGCCTATTTGTTATTGTAGAAGAAGGACATTAATCCTCATAAATCCAATAGATTCAAAATCCTGCTAAGAGCCCCTTATTGTTATGATCCCAGTGGATGCTATATGGGATAAGGCAAAGCACAGACTGAAATCTGGCTTGATAGATCACATTTTTATTATTTGGTATTAGCGAGGTGGCCTTTCACTGAAACACAAGCACCCCAAGTTTATTACACAATAGAAGTGAAGACAAAGTTGAATAAACATATTTATTTACGTGTAGCACAAGTTTGAAAGATTTTGAAACACATGGTAGAATTACAAATCTGTTAATTCCACAGCAGTCCTTTGTAGCACTCAAACACCAGATTAAATACTGTTGTCAATTCTACATGGGGTTTGATCTAACTATGGCTTCAATTTCTGCATATGAGAATCTTCTAGCTTCTTCCATGATATGTCTATACAAAAGCCTGCTTTGGCCACATCTGGAGTATTGTGTCCAGTTCTGGTCGCCTCATTACAGGAAAGATGTGGAAGCATTGGAAAAGGTGCAGAGGAGATTTACTAGGACGTTGCCTGGAACGGAGGGAAGGTCTTGCGTGGAAAGGTTGAGAGAGCTAGGGCTTTTCTCTTTAGAACGACGAAGGATGAGAGGTGACTTGATAGAGGTGTACAAAGTGATCAGCGGTATAGATAGAGTGGACAGCCAGAGACTTTTTCCTAGGGTGGAGGTGGCCATTACGAGGGGGCATAGTTTTAAAGTGAGTGGAGGTAGATATAGGGGAGACATCAGAGGTAGGTTCTTTACTCAGAGAGTGGTAGGGGCGTGGAATGCAATGCCGGAGAGGGTAGTAGATTTGGCCTCATTAGGGGCGTTTAAGCGGCTATTAGATAGGCATATGGATGATAGTATAAGGTAGGGGTGGAGGTTAGATAGACCTTAGGATTACGGTAAAAGTTTGACACAACATCGTGGGCCGAAGGGCCTGTACTGTGCTGTACTGTTTTATGTTCTCTATGTTCTATGTCATATAACTGAGCTTAGACTTTCTCAGCTTTACATTTCAGCTCCAGTGTTTTAACTAGGCACTTATAATTTGCAACTAAATCTTTACACCAACGTCATCTCTTTCTTAACAATCCGAAACTGCCTCCCTTTCTTCGAAGAAACTTTTACCTATCCAGCTTCTGCAAAGATGTCAGCAAACTTCCCAACTGAAACTCAAAAGTTTTTTTTCAAGCTTTGGGTGTTTCTCCTCAAACCAAACAAAAAAATTCAGAGGCTTCTATCTGAAAGTGTAATACCAGAGACCAAACACACATACCATTATTTCAAAATCCAAAATCTTATATAAGTGATATTAAAATAGATATAAATCATTTACCTTACATCATGATGTTAATTCTCATTATGTGAACTTTCCAGGAAAGGCTGGCATTATTTTCCATACTGTGGCCACTGAGAAGGTGGCAGTGAGCCTTCCTTTTGAACTGATGCAACCTTTCAGCCTTGAGTTCATTTGTTTCAAGATTCTAACCCGATGTCAATGGAATGAAAGTAGGGATTAACGAGAAATGTGACATTGCCTGTGTCAGCCACAACTTATGAAAAAATACATTGCAAAAATAAAGCAAACATCACTGAAAGTCTTTTAACATGCAGAACTGTCCAAAGAACAGGTATGTCTTAGTCAGGAATGTCCACAGTACATAGGTGTTGCATAACAAAGAGAAGTGGAACAAGAGAGTCATTACAACGTAGAAGGAAGCTATTTGGCTCGATGAGCCCGTGTCAACTTAGTAGCCTTCTTTCCTATTACATTCTTAATAATCAAGACAAACAATTTTTTTTTAGGTTACTGACAGAATATTTGTGAAATGCTTGAAGAAGAGACTGTGGAAAAGAACGATTCCACTTCACTGGAAAATGAAACCTCTATGCTGCAAACCCCAACACCACAAAATTCAGTTTCAGAACTGACGAAGGTAAAATGGCCTCAGACATTAGACTTAACAAACTTTGAGGTATAGATAAAAGATGAAAGGCCTATTGATGTATTCTTTCTTTTACTAGCTTACCTCTTGTTGAATTCTGGTGACTGGAAGGTTGTACAAGTTTCCACTGCAAAAATTTGTAAGAGGTGCCCTCAGAAATAGTACACTGATTTTTGCTTATTATCTTGATTGATCAATTATCCTGAAAATTAATTACCACTTGGATAAATCAGTAGATAAATTTGTTCCCTTCATCAATTCATCCGTAACAAATTAAAATTATAATGTTGGTTTAGGTGTCTTGACAATAGAATCTTACTTTAAACTTCACTATTTTATATCATAGTTTTGAGCTGTTGCATTAAAAATTCTTATGTAAACTTGTGACACTGTAATTATATCTTAAAAGAAGAAGAAAAAAAATTGCTTTCATGTAGCAGATTTTACGGTCTCAGAACTTCCAAAACTTTACAGTCATGTTGTAGAATATCCAGCATTTAAGTGGTTGCTTCAGTTCAGTTTCTGGTCAGTAGTGACTCCAAGGATATTGATTGTAGGAGACTTGGTAATGGTTTTTGAGTGCCAATTGGTGGAAGTGGTTAAACTCCATCTTATTGGAAATGGCCATTTCTTCATACTTTGACTCTGTGAATGTTACTTGTCTCGTATTGGTCCAAATCTGAATGATGTTTGTATCTTGCTGCATGTGAGTATGGGCAGCTTCATTAGCAGAGAAGTTATAAATGGCACTGAACATTGTGCACTTATGAATGAATCCCTGCACTTCTGACCTCATGACAGAGGGAAAGTCATTCATGAAGCAACCTCAGGCAATCAGTCCCTGAATACTGCCCTGAAGACAACAACAAAAATGGGGCTGAGATGATTGAGAGTCAAAAAACTCAACCATCTTCCTTTGTGCTAGATATGACTTCAAACCACTTGAGAGTTCATCCTCTGATACTCATTGACATCATTATGACTGAATGATGTCACACAGAACCTAATGCTGTCTTGATGACTCAGGCAATCACTCTCACATCTACTCTTGAATTCAGCTTGTTTAGTTCTGTGTTAGAGCAAAGTCTGTATGAGGCCTAGAGCCGAGTGGTCTTGACAGAACCCAAATTAAGCATTGGTAAGCAGGTTATTGGTAAATAAATGCTGCTTAATAATAATTGATAGCGTACATCTTGCATGCAAGTATTTATATGTCAATGCAAGTTGTCTGTCTATCGATATTCAAATTCTGATTGTTGGATAACATAGGATGCAGCCAGAGGAACTTATTAATGAAGAGAGGTCAATAAGAATGGAGAAATATGGCTCATCTATAAAAACAGACAGTAGATAGCAGCTCGATGGTTACATTTATAAATTACTTTCATGACCTCAGATATCCCAAAGAGCTTTACGTTCAATGCCTTGGAACACTTCATCATAATGAACAATTTTGAATGCTTCCTTCATAAACAAGAAAATCTCATTTTCTTTTGCAGACATTGAAGATTAAATTACGTAAGTAGGAAAAAGCTTTCAATTATTTCTTTTACTTACTCCTGTCAGGATGAATGTGACCTGTATGAAAATGAAAATGATCAGGCTATGGCTTCAGAACCATTTATGTACAGACATTGGCCAACATCAGGAAGAACACAGGTAAAAAGACATTAGTATAGTCAACTCAAATCAGTCCCCATCTTTTAGTAGAAAGAACTTGAAACTATATTGAATGCAATGTACTTGATATCAAGATTAAGTATGTCAAATAAAGTCAATTACTTTAGTGCCAAGAGTCAGAGCAAGACTTTCTAATACAGTTTTACTGATACCCATTAATGTACTAACTGATTATTAGAGCTGTTGATGAGGCGTCTTCTGGATTTCTGTGTGCAGTTCTAGTCACCCTGCTTCAGAAAGGATGCTATTAAATTGGAGAGGAACACAAGAGTGGTTCATTTGTGGAATGAACTGCCAGAGGAAGTGGTGAATGCAGGTACAATTACAATGTTTAAAAGACATTTAGATAAGTACATAAATAGGAAAGATTTGGAAAGATATGGGCCAAAATGCAGGCAGGTGGGACTAGGTTAGTTTCAGAACATGGACTAGTTAGACTGAAGGGTCTGTTTCCATGCTGTATGACTCTGTAGGCTGAAACCAAAGTCAAAAGTGGTGAAACTTTGGTGTATTCTTTTGTTGTCAACCAGTGGTATAACCAATTCATCAAGGCTTGCAGCTGACCAAATGTTTAGCTGTTTTAGAACTTCTATCACCCTCCTGGCAGAATAAAATGGAGAACCTGTCATTTGGTTTGTAATATTTTTTGTTTTAATCAAAATAAGTTGCTGTAGTTTTGGTCATGAGTTCTGTTTCCCCGAGTGATAGTTTAAGTAGACACTGTAGATTTTAGGTTGTAGTGTGCTATTTACATTAGCTTTGTTTGCTTCACTATTTTCTGAATAAATAACCTTGGTTTGGCTTAAAATAGTTCACTTTCTGTGAATTTTGCTTAAATCCTGCATCATCCTCAACATATTGGCTGACACAACAGTGTAGTTGTCACTGTTTTTATCATGCTCAGTATCACAGCTAAGGTTCTTGTGGCACAATGGTAGCTGTCCCTACATCTGAGCCAGGAGGCTCGAATTCAAATCCCACACTACTCCAGAGGTGTGTAATAGCATTTTTGAACAGGTTGATTTAAAGAAAAAGAATATCACATGACAGCCTGATTCTGCCTTGAGCCAAAAGTACAGAAGTGCACTTTGAACTGAGGGGTTCTGGACAATGAACAGAGTTTGGGACCCTGCAAATTTCCCTTTCTCCAACTTGGGGATGCTAAGTCCAATTGTAATACTTTATTTGCCACTCAACAGAGTTCAATTAAGTCATTTCACATTGTTGCTGAACAAAGAAACATGCTGTTGAAGCTTTTCATCTCCTATTCATTGTGACAAATGCAAGAATGCCAAATTTCATTGAGTCATAGAGTCATACAGCACAAAAACAGACCCTTTGGCCTAACTCATGCATGCTGACCAGGCTTCCTGAACTGAACTAGTCCCATTTGTCTGCATTTGGCCCATAACTCTCTAAACCTTTCCTATCCATGTATCTGCCCAAATCAAAGTGATTATACTTTATGAGATAGTAGGAACTGCAGATGCTGGAGAATCTGAGATAACAAGGTGTAGAGCTGGATGAACACAGCAG